ATGGTAACCAATAATTTATTGTATTTCCATGGTAACTTTTTATAAGACTAAACAGATGTCGCTACAAGGTTTCGATCACTAGCACCGCGTTGTGGTGAACTGGAGGAACTAAACACTTTATATACATATTAAAGAAAATAATTAATTAAAGAAAATAAATATTATTTTCAATGGGAAACAGAAGCAAAATTTTGGTACTAGAAGATGACGAGACAGGTACTGAATTTTAAAATTGCTACCTTGTAATTGTAGCGAATACAATAACGAAATAAACGAGTGAACCTTTCAGAGGCTATATTGATTAACTTTATTAATTGAAATTGGAGAATACATTGATGTTGTCCTATTACTTTTGAAGTTGAAATTTATTATTAATCTCTTCGGTATAGGGCAGTAGGTGTGGTATAATCTGACGACCGAGAAAACATAATCTTCATTCGACACATTTTTTACAATAAAGTATTATTAATATATATAACATTTATTTCTAATATCTAAAAGGAAACACTTTATAATTTAATTTAATTTCACGGGAGAAAAATTGTGTTATTGATCCAACTGTAATTGTCGATGTTGCTCGACAGTTTCAACAATTTTGTCGTAACAATAAGTCTGTCGATTTTAATTGACGATCATACCAAAGAGATTAATCACAGTTGTACAGAAAATGAACTCGTATAAAAACTCGTATGATTGTTCCTTGACATTTTAATTAAATTTCAAAAACAAGGAACTAATAAAAGTGAAGTTGATAAATTTTGATTTCTGACGTTTAAAAAATAGTATATTGTTTATAAACTGGATCGTCTAATAGTTTCCTGAATCGTTGCTGAGATGTTTGGCTCCGCTTCGGACGAATAAGGATAAAAATTGCGGCAACGTGTGGACAGATACGCATCAGTTTCTCCGGAATACATTTCCTTACAAAATCCGTTGCTCCAGTCACTAAGATTGCAATATTAAAAAATCCCTCGAGGGAATCCGATTTTTCACCAACACCGTTTGCATTAATTATAACATTCATTATGTCCATGTTGTAGGATCTTCAACTGCAATATCTGTAATTGAATAATGAGAAAAAAGAAATGAGTAACACGAACTTTTTCACGTTGGATTTCTACAGAGAACAATCAACGTAATATTGAATAAAATTATTCGGTGCATAATATTGCATCAATTATTTTTTTTTTTTTTTAATGCGAGTACATAAGCTATCGTGAAGACTCTTATCAAGTAGACAACAGTGAGAATCCCATAGAAGAAGTGAACGCAGTGAAAAATTTCTTAAAAAACATAAAACATTGTTCTTCTAAAGACACAGTGTTATTTGTGAAAATTTAAATTTTACTGACAAAAATTGGGATAGTTTGAAATGTTTTCATTTTATAATTATAATTTTACATTCAACAATAGACTAAATAAACATACTAAAATACATAACTTTTTAGCTTTCGTAGAATCATAAGATTCTTGCAGAAATAAATGAAAGTAAATTCACCCAATTATCAATTAAACAGTCAAATATTCAAATCAAATATTTCAATTATCAATCAGAAATTTGCTAGACTACTGATTTCTTGCTGATTTCATCAATCAAATAAATCAATGTAACTGTAAAGATTTGCCAGAATGCGAATGTCTTCTACGAATTCATATTTTTCTAGAATAGAATTGGAGAAATAGAATTTAAGCAGAAATTTATTTTCGTCATCTCATAACGAGCATTCTATTTTGGATATTTTATAAAATTTTCTATATTTAGTTCATACTACTTTCGCTAACGTCAAAAATATTTGTGAAATAAATTTAATAATATATATTTAATTACCATTAGACAGGATCCATCAGTCCATGTTATTCCATCTTTTATCAATTCATCTGTAAGTTTATAAATCTGTAACAAACTTATTTGTTGGATTAGTAATTTGAAAAAATTCCACAAAAATTCCAGGCCACTGAAGCAATCCCACCATTTGAAGAACAAAAATCAAATGAATAGCCAGAAGGGCTAGACTATTGAAAAGGAAACTGCGATACAGTAGCCAGAAGGGCTATTAAAAAACAAACATGACTTACTCAGCAATACAATAACCAGAAGGGCTACTGTACAATTATCTACGTTACAAACCCGTGCAACAAACCGTGTTTCGCAACACTAATTCACTGGCACTGATTGTGTAATAGGAAATTTTCAAAATCAAAAGCGAAGAGTGCTTTGTTTAAAATGTTTAAAACTTCCGAGAATAAATAGGCAACTAAAATTAATCAAATATGCCTCATGTTTAAAAATACGCGACGCGTGCAGTACAACTCTGCTGGCGGTTGCTGATGAATGACCACCTCTCTACAGCTTTTGTAGCTGTATGAGGTGATCCAGGAGCAGGAGAAACCTTCCACGAATTCAGTGGAAGAATTCGGGCATTTTGTAAACGCAACGCTACTT